AAATGCTTTCTTACAACTCCTGTCACTGTAGCTTAATAGCTGCTGGCTGTGGATGATGTTCGCTGTGGTTCACCATGTAAAGGATGCCAGGATGGGAAGTCAATTGAATGAGACATACTTATGTGTAGTAAATATAATTAGTAAGAGGCGGAGAGAGCTTTGGTTTGACGGGAAAAGAGAACATACATAAAGTAGCTCAGAGATGTAGAAACTAGTTAGCAATTCTCTAGAGAAATGTATTAATTTACCTGCTTGTAAATCAGTATAAATTAATCTTATTTTGATAGATTGATAATGCTACCTTGTAGAATAGAAATGGAGATGCCACTGATGGAGATTTCTGCAGAATAGTATGCATTTGGTCAAAAAAGGCCAACAAATGGAGCTTCTTCTAATGGCAGCAGCAGCCAGATAAAGAGCTCATGGGAGAATCAGGAAGCACTGAAGTTCCTTCTTGAGTTGTTCATTGATATAGAAGCCGATATGTGCTATGAGAATATCTATTGACTTTGCTGAGCTAATTACAGTGGAACATGGTGCAAGCTTATAGTAGCCTCAAGGGTCTTCTCTTCTCACATATTTTTGTTAAATTAGGCCTTGGAGGTTTAGGGGTGGTGGAATGATGTGGAAATCAACAAGGAGTTATTTTTACCTGGACATATTATTGCTTGTACAGAAGGAGAACACTGAACAGATTCTGGATTGGTTTAGTTTCAGGGATTTGTGCATTGCATTAATGGATTTTATATGTGCAGAAACCAAGCATACAGTAATTACGGCAATGTGAAAATCAGTAAAGTTCATATTTAGGACACTGCTTACACAAATGTGAATTGGATGATAACTGACTGCTATACAATTCACACTTCTGACTCAATATGCATAGGCATGAATAACTTTTAATTGTACAAACTGTGCTATTTCTATGTGACTTAGAAATCTTATAATCATATAGCCATTGAATTGAGTAAGGCCACTAAATTCCAGGGAAGTTACCTTTGAATAAACAGCACAATACTGTGCTTACTATATCACTCTATTTTTCACTTCATTTTAAGCTGGATCAATCATCTAATACTGATGTAAACTAAATAAATGTTCTTATACCACTGAAAACAAGAGATGAACTTTAAGACTGGACAGTCACTTGTCTGAGATGGTACAGGTTCTCCTACTTGAATAGGGGGCTGGACTAGAAGACCTCCAAGGTCCCATTCTATTCTATTCTATTCTATTCTGTTCTATTCTATTCCTATTCTATTCGCTTTTTGCTAGGAGAGTGGGGGCCCATCTCATTCCTGGGGGCAAAATGTTCCAAGGGGAGGGGGCAACAGCTGAGAAGGTTCTCTTCCTGCACTTTAGTAACTGGGATTCTTTGATGGGAGTCCATCCCTGATGAGGAGGGCTGAGGTAAATGGTTTGAAAACAGTAGGTAACCTGCCCCATACCATGTAGGGTTTAAATGTCATAACCAGCAAATTGAATCAGACCCAGAAGTAAACTGGCACCTAATTCAGTATAACAGCTATAGCTGATAGTGTGCCATGAAGTCATTGTCAATTCTTAGCAACCACATATTCTCCATTATGATCTGTCCCTAACCTGGTCTTTTAGTCTCCCAACAGCAACCCTCCACCCATCACCACGGTAGCCATCTGTCCATCGTGTTGCGGTTGTGCTTTTCTTCTCGTTCCTTCCACCTCCACTTTTCCCAGCATTAGAGCTTTCTCCAGAAAGCAAGGTCTTCACATAATGTGTTGGAAGCAGGATAATTATTAGTTATAAAATGGCCTCTGTCAAGCCAGTGACAATTATTTTTGGTTGAAAGACAAGAGCAGAAAACAGGGCACCTAGGTGGAACTATGTGCAACTATTGGAGCACTCCAGTTAGAGCAGCTGAAAGTATCTAAGATGCATTAACATTAAGCATATGAATTAATAAGGTAGTTTCACACTGAGACTACTTTTCTGGGCAGTCTGCCAGCCCTGGGCTGCAAAATTCCAGACGGTAGCAACGCACAGGTACAACACGCGGGATTCTTTGCTGCCATCTAGTGGTCGTCTGGGTTTTAGTAGCCCTAATTGCGGTCGCACAACATCCTCCGCGGAACCCGCCACTCCATAAATGCCAGTCTGCGACCAGGGACACAGAGATGACTCCACAGGGCATCTCTGCGCATGCGGATCAGTTGCGCAGCTAAGTACGCCAGCCCCTTGGAATTAAGGCTCCAGGACCCAAGTAAGAGCAGTGGAGATTCTAGCAGTGGCTAGAGCGGCAAGGCCGGCCTTTTGCTTTCTCGCCGAACGGCTGCTCACTTAAAAGCGTCAGTTCCGATTCCTGGTGGGCAGGCTAAAGGAGGGAAGGATGGTAAAAGGGGACAACGAGGTCGTGGCCGAGGCCGAATTCCCTGAACAGTTCCGTTCCTACTCGGAGAATGAAAAACACTGGCAGGCGCGGCGCGCCTTCATCCTGCGCAATGCCCCTCTGGAGGGCGGGGAGGCGCCCTCTCCGCTGCGTCTGGACCAGCTGCTCTCCCTCTCGATGGTTTGGGCCAATCATCTCTTCCTGGGATGCAGGTACCGCCTCCTTGTCTCTGCGCTCGCAAGGCCTCCAGATGTTTTGGGCCGCAGAGCCCGGCCGCCTCGCGTCCGGCCAGGAAAGATGGAAGTTGTCGTCCAATGCAGCAGGGGAACGCTAGACTGGGGGAAGGAGGTGGCGGGGAGTAGGCGGCCAGCCGTTTTCTCATTCAACGCATGCGCCGGGATTGCCCGGTATTTTCTTACCGCCCATTTTTTTTAGAGATTACGTCATAGTAAGAGAAGCCGCCTCCTTTATATTTGCAGGTTTGAGAGCAGCTTCACCTGTAGCAGTTAAAGGGGAATAAGCCGATACCTACATAAAATACAGCCGCACACAATCATATGGTTTTCTTTCTATAATTAGAGGAAAAAGGGACAATTATGTATGTAGATGTTGAAATAAAGTTGTTAAGAGAGTAGCAGGACAGGATTTCTTGAAGTTGTTTGCTCTGAATGCAGACAAAAGTTGATGTGCTGCATACTCTTTGTCTAAAAATTGTGCGTACTTCCTGTCATTCAATGATGATTAACCGTCTCTGATAAGAGATTGTTCCATGTAAGTTGTATTTCCCAGCATATTGGAATAATGGACTGTACTTCCACCCTATATCACCATAAAGCAGCGGTTCTCAACCTATGGGTCGTGACCCCATTTGGGGTCGATCGACCATTTCACGGGGGTCGCCAAGCAAGGCTGTCCGCCATTTTTTTCCCCTTTTCTGGAGGGGGCCTTACCTCCCTTGAGCTGGGCCAGCTGGTGGTCGGCCTGCTCTGTCTCTGCCGCTTGCCAGCTATGCCTTGGCCGGCGCAGGGGGCGGAACCACGCATGCGCGGTGTTCCTGGGCAGGGAAAGTCCTCGACTTACGACCGGTTTAGTTCTCGACTTACGACCGGTTTAGTCCTCAACTTACGACCGGTTAGGGGTCACGGCATTAAAAAGGTTGAGAACCACTGCCATAAAGGAATCATCATGCTGTTATACAAAAATGAGAAGATACTATTTCAAGATAGGCAACCCACTTATTTTAAGTACTTTGTTCTCATTCTTTGGCCAGCAAGTGTCTTGGGTTAACTTACATAAGGTCAGCAAGAGCAATAGTATGCTATTAAAACATTAAGACTATTTTAAAAGGTGACAATGATGGCATTTTACCACTTTTTCTCCTATTCACAGGTCAGTTTGTTCAGAGAAACTAGAGGCAGGTGGTGAAAATGTTGATAGAAGTTCACCTTGCTGGTTTTTTTATCTTCTACTTCAGGCATGTCAAACTCGCGACGTCACATGACGTTGCGCAACGTATTGGGTCGATTTTGCCATTGCCGGCAATGGGGTGGGCGTGGCTTCCATGTGACGCGTCCGGCCCACGGGCCGGCAGTTTGATACACCTGTTCTACTTTTTTAAAGAAACAGGTTTTTAAAATCTGTTTTAGAAACAGTAATCTGAACGTTTATGAGCTTTTGATATTTGCTGTAGGGTTTGTTACAGCTTTGCTTTCCAAATTTCATTTATGCCTTGTTCTTAGAAACAAAGCACAGAATTTTTATTAAATATGTTTGGAAACTTGGTACCTAAAATCAAGGTAACTTCAATATTGTACTTAGCCTGTATTTTGCTTAATTTTGTTCCTAACTCTTACAATTAAGCTGTCCTAAAGCATCCCAATTTTTCTTAACTTTATGGATGCTGTTTATAAAATTGAAAGGATTGAACTTTATTGATAGCAAATGTGAATTGTGGGAACAGTAGAAGGCTATTAGATACCTTGTAAACTTTTGGTTTCTTTATACAGCTATAACAAAGATCTATTGGAGAAGGTGATAGAAATGGCAAATGGAATTGAAGTTGAAGATGTGCCACATTTCACAACTCGTGATGAATTACTCAAAAGGTGAATATTATTCAAGATTTTGGCCTCCTTTAGGAAATCTTTTCTTGCGGCAATTTTACATGTATAATCATATTTGATTACATAACCCTAAATATTTGGGTTCTATTTTCTGGAAAGCTTAGTATATTAGCTGAAACTGCTTATACAGTACTTATGCTAGTCAGAACAACTCCCCCCCCCACTTCCCCCATCCCTCCCAATATTCCTCTCTAGTGCAGCATCCTATATTCCTTGAAAAACAACTCTTCTTTGGGTGACCTTTTATAATATTAGGGAATATATCTCAGAGTAGGCTGAGAAAAATTGGATGTAATGGCTTGGATAAAAATATAAATTTTCTGCTAAACAGAAGCAACACTAGATATAATTCTTTATCTTATATTTTCTTAAATCTGCTGGCAGTATAAATTAAACTTTTATTGCATTAGAAAGCTTACTGTATATGCTCAACTTTAGAGAAAAGCAGAATTCTCTATAATGGATTGGGCTTCTACAATCTCTAATAGCTCCTTCTGTCTTTAAGCCTAGTTAGTGTAACTTTCTCAATCTCTGTTCTAGTAGATTGTTCTTTTATGATTGATTAAAAGTATCAAAAATTATATAATTTGATGGGTATTCCTAATACATGGCCCTGTCATTTGTATTACGACATCAATATTACTTTTGTAGTAAGGGCACTTTTACATTGAATGTCTGTTAAGGGCTCATTCATGAGCCATAATAATTTCAGCAAAAAACAGCCAAAGTGAAAAGCTAGTAAGTGATGTGGAATTCAGGTTTTTAAGCTATGCCAAGATTTTAAATTTATTATTGCACACCTTTCAAATGGCTGGGTAAACATGATGCTTCTGATAATACATAGTCTTCGCCATGCCACTATGTATTCATAACTGGCCCAACAAAGGTGTACTAACTATAGCTTGTGGAATGCAGCATTAACTTTTCCCTGGCTGCCATGCATTTAAATGTTTATATGAATCAATACTTAGTCTGCAGTTATTTGTTTAATTATTTAGCAAATAATTAAATTTGGGATTAGTGCTTAAGTCTTAGGTTTGGTATAATAATGCTTTTAAAACTTAGGTTTTGTGTAGGATTTCTAATAACTAAGGCTCTTTATATAATACTTGAATAAACTAAACATTACAAATGATTGAACTTCAGATATCTGTGACTGCAATATACTTAATGGGCTTCTACTATGTGGTTTTTTTTTAGAATCAATACTAGTGCCTAGGAGAGAAGAAACACCAGGCTTTTGTTCTACTACACAATCTGTTTATATTGAAAACTGATCTGGATACTTCAAACATCACTTCTGAGATGCATTTTAGATTAGACTGTTTTTTATACTGGATGCTTAGAGATTATGTACAGATTTTGATTAATATACATATATTAATCAGATTAAGAGTGAAGAAAAGAAGACAAGTACTTATGTTTATTTATCACTCTGCCCCCCCCCAAACACCAATCCTTCAGAAAGCAGGTTTAAATCTCATGTGGTGACACTTCCTAAGGTACCAGTTATATGGTATGAATACAGAAGTAACAAAATCCCAAAAAAAATAGATGGGAATAATAAAAACAAAATTGCTGGATGTAAGAAATAAATGTTTTTTTAAAACAAAACAAAACATTGAGTTGCTTATTTTTTCTCTTTTTTACTACATATGCCTTGTACAGGCAGTGCCTTGCTGATCGTCTTTGGGCTTGGAATTAAGTAGGCTTGGACCTGGTTATTTCTTAGATAGGTGACACATTGAAATACCTCAGCTCTATAGACCAAAAAACAAAACTGGAAGAAGGAAATGGCAAACCATTTTCATATTGGGCACCATTTGCAAAAAAGTACCTGCCTCTGGACTGGATGGTAGGCCTTTCAGTTGTGGCGTCTGTACTCTGGAACTCCTTGCCTGCAGATTTTTAGTGTCCCCACCCTTCACATTTCATAAACCATTAAATATTATTCAACCATGTGTTTAATAAGGATTGAATATTTCTGGTGGCTTTTTTGTAATTGTAATTACAATCTTTTGATTGTTTATTCTATATTTTACTATGTTGTGTACTGCCCAGAATTTGTGGATTGAAGTACGGTAGGTTACAAAACCTAAATGAACTAAAATGGTTGCTAACAGAAAATGACATGGTCTTCTCTGTGACATTAATCAGAGTTCAGCTATACTTAAAGACTCTACCTCTTACATGACCCATTTCAATATTAAGGCTGTCATCTTTAACCATCCATAAGAAAGTTTCTTGAATTCTCCATGAAGTTTGAATTATATATAACTCTATTCTGAACTCTTGGACTTCAAAGATATCTCTTGTTGAGAATTAGAACATTCCAAAAACCAGTAATATTATTAAGCTGACATGATTTCGTAAAAGAGCAGTAAGTTTTGACCTTAAATTGATTCAGTGAATATAAAGTACTGCCCTAATCTGAATTTAAGAAAACTACTGGCATACAAGGCAAAAGGAGTCTAACGTTGCAATTTTAACATAGGTCCAAAGACTAAATAATGATCAGCTTCTCCTTTTTTCATATCTCAGATCTTGCCTTGTTCTTCCTGGAGATACAATAATTATTTCGGATAACTAAAACTAAAATAACTTAGAAAGTTTCCCACTCAAACAGCTCTACTATTGTGGGGTGGGAGACATTCAGTTTTGGATGCATATTCTCTTCTGCAGAAATTTTCTACAGCATTTATCATGATTTTGGAGTTCTGGCATATCTTTATATACATCAATATTATTTATGTGAGGGATTACTCTATCCCTGCTATTAATACAGTTCAGAAACAGGCAACATTTTGACACCTGGAAGTTGAACATTATATGTTTTTAGTATCTGAAAGCTGCAGTTGGTAGGGATGATGATGCAAAAATGACCAATATTTTCCCCTTGGCCTTTGGAAAAAGATTGGGGATTTTCTTTTTAAAATCTATTTTATACTTAATAGTAAACCTTATACTACAAAACGGCCGGGAACTATGCAACAATTTTTAGCAACTACCGTATGGTCAGACCTGGATTAAGGGTTGAAAAAAGGGACGACTGGGATTCATGAAGCCCCCTAAAAGTTGCCCACCCCAATCTAAGTATTCTTTCTATTGCAACTATGGCGAGGAAAACAGCTAAACATGTGTTTAAAGAGACCTAGGAAAGGGAAGCAAATTTTTCTTCCTTGGTGTAGACCTCTGGACTCCTTAGAGGTTCCACCACAAAATTGTTCATATGGTAGGCCTGCTCTGCTTATTAATCAACATTTTGCTGGAGTTGGGAGATGCGAGTGAATTGAATGTGATTTCATAGGAACGTAAAAGCTTTGTTGGATTAAACCCAAGGTCGATTAGTCCAGAAATTTGTTTTCAGTAGGTCAGCCAGATACTTCTGGGAAGCCTATAAGCAGGCATATGCTCCCCTCCCCTTGTTGGCTGCTAGCAAGTGGTATTTCCCTTAACCATGGCAGCTGACAGCTGATAGATATTTCATGAATTTACTTTTTCTCCTTATCTAGCCATCTAAGCTCAAGGCCTTTGAAATGAGTGCCCTTTTTTCTGGCTTGAAAGAACTGCCAGTATGTTTGATGAACCTGACCTAGAGTGGTCTGGGTGAGCACTACTTCTGTTGAAGACAAATGAGAATGATGGCAGTTCGTTGGCATCACTAGAAATGATGTTAGTGCACAACTGCAATCTATGCGATCCACTGCATGGTGTATATTTAGAAAGGGTGGGACAGACAAAACCTTTTTCCAGGAATGCAGTATGGTGGTATTGGGCCTGCTATCATTAGAGGCCTACAATTTTCAACATCTTACATTTAGGAATAGGTAATTATACTGTACATTACAATACCTATTAGGGAATGTCAGACATATTTAACCATTGCAGAGTCATCAGATCACACAAAACAACTTCTGTGTCATTTCATCATTGTTATGAAAGTACATTCTAACTGCCTTTGAGTTCTTTAGATATCTGTAATAGAAACTGGATTTCCATCTGGTGGACCTGGAGACACTGAATCTCCCTTTCCTTCATTATACAGCTGCAAACCTGAAGTATTTCTAGGGCATGTTTACAGAAAAAAGCCAGCCCATCTAGATTTTTCAGTTATTAGCTGTTTTGTTGTCTATTTAAACATGAACCTTCTCCATTTGAGGATAGCATTTTTGCCTAGAGGTATTCCTCTAAAATGAATAAAGCTTGTTTTTTCCCCTCATCACTTGCTTTCAACTCACTAACCCAGTTTATTACAATGAAGGGAAGTCCATGCCTATTTTTCTGTTTAGCTTGCTCTTTCCTTTATGTAATTCTGGTGAAAGATTGGCTAGGCATATCTGAGATACTATACATTGCTGGTTCTCTGTTCTGAGAGAACTTGGAATCATTTAATACTATCCATAATACTGCAGTTCTGTGATCTACAATCTGATCTGAGCTTCACATAAATCCTATTAATAGACAACAAAGTTCTAGTTAAAACAGTTCAATGTACTATGTCATGTCTTTATTGAACACTCTGAACTAACATTCACTGATCTTGTTGGAAAACATTAAATTTAGAGTTTTTAGCAGTAATAACTTCAACTGAATTTTTTCTATACCTGTTGATCAATCATGCATATGGTATGTTGTGTTTATTAACAGAAAAGCTACTTCTATTAAGGAACTGCTTTCATGTGATATTTTTAGACTGTCTTTACATGAACTGGTTGCTTTAGGTGATGTCACATCATTTCAGTTAGATCAGGGGTAGTCAACCTTGGCTCTTTTATGACTCGTGGACTTCAATTCCCAGAATTCCTGAGCTTAGCTGGCTGAGGAATTCTGGGAGTTGAAGTCCACGAGTCATAAAAGAGCCAAGGTTGACTACCCCTGAGTTAGATTAAGGTAAGAGCTTTGAGTCAGCCATTTCAAAGTTAACAATTCAATTGGTTTCTGTTTTATTTGCGTGTGTTTAAGGGCATTGCCATACTATACTGCTCACAAAAATAAAGGGAATGCAAACCCCTTCAGTTCCATGGTAAAATGTTCCCTTTATTTTTTTGAGCAGTATATATAACTCACATTAAAGTTTCAGCTCCCAGAAGGACATCTTGGACATTTTCCAGTAGAATCCACTGGTACAATCCAGACTCCACTATACCCTCAAAGATTGCCAGACACCTGAGGCTGAAAACCAGCCCCGAATCATGATATGCTTCTCTGTTCTATTTCATGGTTGGGATGTAGTATATCAGATCTCTCTAGTAACAAGCCAGACTGGGAAAAGAGCAATTCTCTCTGGGCATGGGTTAATGATATTTATTAGGAATAACAATGCAGTGATAATACAGAACTTTGACCAATAAGTTTGTTTTCAAATATAAAATTATTTAGAAGCAGTTTATATTCTGGCTTTCTTCCTTCGGTGTAAAATAAGGAGAAAGGCAATCTTTATGAGAAGGCAGACCATTCTGCCACTGGATTTTGTTTACATAACTCTTATTAATCTGATTGATGTGGGAAATCTGTTAAAATGTTTTTTTTAACAAATGTTACTCATTAATAACCCAAAGTTCCATTTTCATCTTGTCTAACCTCAAAATCTTGTTCTTTAGTTGGTACACTAGGTTGTGCAAGTAGTCTTGGGCAAATTTTAATTTTTGGAGAACAGCAATTTCGTTCTTGTTAGTCCCCCCACAAACTGTTGTAGTTCAGTGGTGTTGTTTTTATGTGGACTCATGAAAACTGACATCAAACATGGCCTGCAGATCCTTTGCTTTTATCGTAGATTTGTGAGCTCCAGGAGTTCTGTATTCTCCTGAATTTGTTGGATAATTACTAGGAAGAGGTAGCAATGCTATTACATTTTCTCTAGTTGTACATCATCTGCTAACTGTAGATTTTAATTGGAGGCCCAAATCTTTGGTTATGGTTTTGTGGCCTAGCCCAGGCTCAGGCACACCAGCAGCTCTTTTTCTGAGTCTGCAGCAACGCCTGACTGAGGCATGATTCATTTTCATAAACCTGTGCTATGATGAGCAAACTCCAATATTAACAATAAGCACAGTTGCTCCTCAGACTCACACCTGTGATTGGAATTTCTGGCAGGACTTAGCCTCTTACGAGAGCTGATTTTCTTGGGGCTTTTTCAAGAGGGGAAAAGTTGATTCAGTATGTTCAATAAAGACATGACAGACTTCACTGTTCGGACTGTTATTTAAACGATCTATAAATGGATACAACTTAAAAGTCTTGATCACATTATAGGTACAGTGCAGTACAAATAAGGATTCACATATTTTTCTCCCACCACTGTATTCCATATAAACTGTGGCTTGCAGAATGCTATGTGGAAACCTTTTGGAGAGTTAACAGAAGATGAATGGAGGGATACTTTTTCCTCAGGAGGAATGAGATAATTCAACTAAATGTATCCTACACTAAAAGAACTATGTTTAGA